TTCTGGCATAAGAGCGTCGCGCTTTCCATCGTGAGACGATCGAAACCAAAAAACCATGTCGCCCTGAAGGAAAACGTGGGCTCCCACCCTATGGGCCCGTGGACACGACCTGCCGCCAACGCCTTGGAGGTGGAGGAGGGAGGAGAGAGGAGGGGGGAGGGAGGAGAGAGGGGGAAGGAGGAGGAGGAGGAGGAGGAGGAGGAGGAGGAGGAGGAGGAGGGAGGAGGGAGGAGGGAGGGGGGAGGGGGGAGGGAGGAGGGAGGAGGAAGGAGGAGGATGAGGAGGAGGTGGAGGAGGAGGAGGAAACGGAGGAGGAAAGGCGGGGGAGACGGAGAGAGGAGTCCGCCAGACCTCTGCAGAAACACAAAGTGCCGTAGGCGAAACAACTATCCTCTGCCACCCAATCCCAAACCAAACCCCCGAGTCCGCCGGCCAATCGAGTCCTCTAACGGAATGCGTTAGTTAATACTACAAGGGCACCGTCACCGTACTCGTATGTCTTCGCCCCGTCTTCACCGTACTTCCACTGATCAATGTCCTGCCCCGACTCCCTCCTTTCCCGCCTCCCGCCCATCCTCCTTCGCACCCTCCTGCTCCTCACCTCTCATATTTCAAAACACTCACGTCATCTTCCTCCTGGCATTTCCGCTCTTCCCCCTCCAACCACTCTTCCTCTTCCGCATCCGGCTCTTTCGCATGCTAGTGCTCAACATCCTCATCCTCCTCATCATTGTCCTCTTCCTGCTCACCCCCTTCAGCCGCGTGATCTTACACCCGAGCGCCGCAAAATAACCTTCACCTCAACCTTCCCATACCAATCCTCCTCCTTCAACCACTCCTTCTCCCTCCTCCGTGTACTCCTCCTTCCACTCCAACTGCTCGACCTCTTCATCCTACTGCTGAATCCCCCTTCCCAAGCTTCCCCCTGCTCTTTCTCGCCCTCCTCCTCCTTCGCATCTTGCTCCTCCTCCTCTTGCTGCTCCACCGCTTTCTCCACGTCCTTGCCCCTGTCCCTCCACTTCGTCTTCCTCGTCCTTGTCGTCATCGTCTGCAGGGTCGGCGGCACTGGCCGTAAGGCCTTCGCAGTAGTAAGGGTGAAAATGATGACCCTGATAACGATGAACATGAATATGCTGCTACTCAAGATAAGAGAATAACAACTACGATTGGCACTTGGCCCGGTTGAAATTCGGCCTCGCCGCCGTCGCCGTCTACCGCCAACCAAACATGTCTTCGCAGGAGAAAACCAACACCGGAGACTTGAAGAGGGAGGTGTATACTAATATCCAGGGCACGGGATCCTCTCGTGGGGCCAAACACATGTCCGTATCCGCGGTCTCGCGGGCCGGGCCCCGGCCACTGGGCCGCGATCCCGCGGACACGGGGCGCTCTTTCGCGGATGCCCCGCGCGGAACGTATCTGCGCGACCGCGCATCCGCGGGATCGCGCCCCGGAACCCAGACCCCTTCGACACCATCTGCTCGGACCCCACGTGAGGGCCCAGGGATGTCAGGCCCCTACCAGCGGTGAATGGGCGATCGGGGGTCGACGCATTGCCATTCCGCCCCTCGTCCCCCCTTGACGTTCCCCCCTGAAGGGGTCGGCGCGGGAGGGCCCGCCCTCGCGGTGACATACCTCCAGTCACCACCACCTCACGTCGGCGACGTGGGCGAAGCCGAGAGGCGCCCGGACGGGGGTGGGGAAACGGGAGACTCCAGGTTTGGGCAGGAAACGACCGCCCCAGCATTCCGAGAGGCCAACCACGATGTTTTCTCAGATCGAAGAACAGATTAGGGATACCGATTCATACACTGGTCGTATCTCGAACGCTGTAGTGCTGGACAAGTTAGGCCCGCTGGCCGCCGTTGAGTCGCATCCTGTTGCACCGTCAATGATGCATTTTTGCACAGATCGCCCAGAACCCGGATGATCATCCGGCGCGGCGTTCGGTCTTCCAGCCGTCTTCTTCGGAATGGCGTCCGCCGGCCAGCAGACGCCACGGGGCCAGGCCGAAACAATCATGGTGGAGTGAGTTGCATAAGCACGCAAAGAGAGTCTGTGAGAGGAATGCGTGTGATTTTCGACAGCTCGCGGCAATTCCAGGAGAAGCCTGGAAAGCCGCTGTGCGACACTACTGCCCATAATGTTTCATAACTGCCCATATGGGGCCCATATGCTTCGACACCCAGCCTGCATTCCTTCATCAATGTTCTTAGACTCTAAGACCATAAAGACGACTTGTAAAAAACACGACAGTCTCAGCCAGACGCGTTCCGAGAACAGCTCGTGCAAACCACAACAATTTCTTAGAGCAATTTGGTGGGCCTACGGGCAAGCCAGGACGCTCCGCCACTGCTCGATGGGTCACCCCAGTCCGCGCAGCGGCGCACGGCAATCTTTGCGTTCTGGCGCCATCGCGCCCACCGCTGTGCCCCCCGAGGCGGGCCCTCGGTGCTGCAATTAGGCTCAACCCGCTGTGCCACAAAGGGCGCATCTGGGGTCGATAGAGCCCCAAAGGCCAAAGACACGCCGCAGGCCGAGGCCTGGAGCGCAAGACGAAACCAACATCATCAACGCATCCTCAACATCGTCATCATCATTATCATCATCACCACCACCATCATCAGCAGCAGCACCAGCATCATCAACAGCATCAGCATCATCATCATCATCATCAACAGCATCAGCATCAGCGTCAGCATTACCACCATCACCATCACCACCACAACCACCATCACTATCGTCATCATCATACTCATCATCACAATCAATGTCGTCATAACGATCATCAGCATGGTCAGTATCGCCGTTCGCAATATCTTAACCATAAGCATCACTGTCACCATTACCATCATACTCATAATCATAGTAATAATCATCATCAACACCATCATCATCAGGTTCGCCACCATCATTAGTATCATCACAATGGCCACCATCATCTTTTTTCATCATCACCATCATCAGCATCACAGCATCAACACCATCAGCATCACCACTATCACCATCACCATCACCATCACCATCACCACCACCACCTCCACCACCATCATCATCATCATCATCATCATCATTCTCATCATCATCATCATCATCGTCATCATCAGCATCATCAGCATCATCAGCATCATCATCATCATCATCATCATCATCATCATCATCATCATCGTCCTCGTCCTCGTCCTCGTCCTCGTCCTCGTCCTCGTCCTCGTCGTCATCATCGTCGTCATCACTGTCATGTTTGTTGGGGAAACCAGGGCGTACCGATACCGCTACCCTCAGGACCCGTCCCGGGGTGCGTTCCGACCAGGATTCCGAGGCGAGTCCAGCGGTGGCGACGAGAGCCTCCCTGGGAGGCCCAAAAAAGGCCCCACAATTCCATCCGCTGTGAACACATGAAAAACGCCCCCCGGCCCCCCACATGAGGAACTTTAGACTCATGGGACCGTCAATCGACGCGCGAACTGATGGCGGAAACTGCTCGACGGTCAGCCAGCGACAACGCCGCGACAATGGCGGCTGGGGCCAGTTTCCCACTGTTCGCTCTGAGCTCCCGCTCGGGCGTCAGCAGCGGGCTCTGCTCCGCGAAGAAGGCGTCGAGGGCCCGCTCGCAGTGCGCCCGCAGCGCGCCGGGCTCCGGCGCCGGGCCCGGGGCCGCCGGCCGGCGCAGCACGGCCATGGTGAACGGCCCGGGCTGTCGGAGGGCCTCGATGTGCACACATCGGTGCGCACGCATCGGCGACGACGACGGCAACGACGCCGACGACGGCGACGACGGCGACCGCGGCGCAGGGCGCAAGTAGCAAGTACACACGGCGTGCGGCCGACGGCGACGACAGACCACGACGGACGACGACGGTGCTGCGAGCATCGGCGCCGCGCTTCTTGTGCCCAGCGTCTGCGCACTGTGGGCGGGAGTGAGAAGGAGAAGGCCTTCTCAGAAGGCGGCGGGGCTTCGCAGAAGTGAGGAGAAGTTTTCTGCACCTTCGGGGGAGGCACAGAACTCCTCAGAGGACCCGAGGAACTCCGAGCCTTCTGAGCAGGCCCGCCCCCTCTCACTTCTCCCTTGGGCCGGCCGTCGAGCGCAACGAGGGAGCCGAGGAGTTCAGCGAAGTCAGAAGGCAGCGCACGCACGGAAGCTCTTGGCCGTCCCCCTGGCGCCCAATGTCGCGGCAAACAGCGCGCCAAACGCAAGCTATTCGGTGCGATTGGGCGCCGGGTGGGCTCTATCTGGAGCTATTTGAAAACCAGTTGGCGCTACTGGTGGCTATTGGGCGCTATGTGGCGCTATGTGGCGCTCTTCGCCGATACGTATTCAGTTTAAGGCGAACGGAAGAAACTTCGGTGATCTACTATTCAAGCGCAGGAGTGCGGGGTGTAGACGCGCCAGCGTCCCAGAGGCTGGGCAGCCGGGGTCTCTACGCATCGAGATACTCGGCCGACCAGACGACGCGGTGCATCCTGGATGGGATGTAATCAAGGGCGGGGGGGGATTAACCTTCCGACGGAGCCTGCTCGCCCCTTCTTCACCCTTCACTTCGTCTCGACAAGCCTGGCGCAGACATGGGTCTGCCCGCGCGTCATGCCACTTTCGCCACCGCATGGCCGAAGGAGGCCAGAGGCAGATGGCGCAACCGATGCCATCAGCTGGCGTTCCAGGTACACCCTGCGAAATGCTTAAGAAATCATGGGTTAAGAAATTCATAGTCTCAGAACTTGAAGAAAAACTCAACATTTCTAAGAAAATCTTGGGATTTACATTGAAACGTTAAGAATAATCGAGACTCTGGCCGAAAACTTAGGTTTTCTTAAGCATCGCCTAAGGTGTACATGGAGGGAGGCGACCCCCTCGCCCGATCATCAGATCAGGAGCGATGCCCCTCCATCCGTTGCAACAGCACGTGCCCAATACCCCCCGCGGATCTCACGGGGGGCGATCGTCGCCCGATCCAATGTGCACATCGAGCCCGGTTGCTTGACTGACTTACCTGGGTGTCACTGGTTCCAGCTCTGCCTTCAAGCCTCATGGACTACCTCGCTGTGCATGAAATGTTTGCCGAAAACCTTTGCAAGGGCATCCCTGTCACGGTCCTCGGCTTCGGACACCGCTGCGTCGCATGGTCGCTTTGCACCGTTACAAGGCCTACACTTTCACATGCTCTGAACGGACCTTGCCCTTTAGCCCTCTTCTCCTCTTCCTTTTCCCGGCCTGTGCCTCAATGAACCCTTAGCGTGTCCCGCCTGTAGCCCGACCGGCGCCTGACCTCTTTCGCACCTGTGCGCCCGCTGGGAAGAAATGAGAGGGGGCGGGCCTTCTCAAAGGCTCGGAAGGCCTCGGGCCTTCTGAGAAGCTGTACAAGCCTCCCCCGAAGGCACAGAAAACTTCTCAGAGGGCGCGAGGGCTTCTGCGAAGCCCCGCCGCCTTCTGAGAATGCCTTCTCCTTCTCACTCCCGCCCACAGTGCGCAGACGCTGGGCACAAGAAGCGCGGCGCCGATGCTCGCAGCACCGTCGTCGTCCGTCGTGGTCTGTCGTCGCCGTCGGCCGTACGCCGTGTGTCCTTGCGCCCTGCGCCGCGGTCGCCGTCGTCGCCGTCGCTCGCCGCTCCCCCTCGCCCGCCGAGGCCCACGACACCTGCACATCGAGGCTCCTCCCAGGCTGCGCGCGCCCCTCCTCGGCAGGGCCCTCCTGCACGCGGACGGCCGGGGGTGGTCAGGGGGCGGCCCTGGCGCAGGGCACGCGCGGGCTTCTGCCTCTCGCAACCCCTGGGGACCTCGCCTGAAGTCGGGCGTGTCCCCCTACAGAAGGATCTTCGACGAAAATAGAACATACTCCAAACTGCTCCAAAATGAACAAAAATCAAAGCATACTTTTTTGTATGTTTGAATATTCCTCCTGTAGAGGGACGGGTTCGCCGCGGGGTGCTCCGCGGAGGCCCTCCTGGGGGTCTCCCACGGAGAGAGCTCGGGGGCCGCCCTTGCAGGCGCGCCGACCAGGGCCTCCCGGAGGCTCCTCGCCGCGAGGGCTGGACGCGCCTCGAGGAGGAGCCACTCGCCATCGCTCGGACGTCCCTTCCTTGTGTCTTTTGCCGGCTTCGTGCGTGCGCTTTTTCGCCACAGGATCAGGGATGCTCCTCGATGGCCCTCGCCGACGGAAAAATGCGCACGTCCGAGCGATGCCAGGGCCAAGGATGGACCGAGCTGTGAGGTCATTCTGGGCAGGGCGGGAGAGCCGCCGCTGCTCGGGACTCTGCGGGCCCGGGCCCATGCCAACCCGGGGCCCGTGGGGCTCTGCAGGATCCTGCGCGCTCTAGCCCCGGTCAGCGCGCCCCCTGCTTCTGCGGCATTCCACATGGGACCCGCACCCTGGCTCGGGGATGGACAGATCCCCCTTTAGTAAAACGTGGTTTAGTGAAAACGACCTGAGGCCCAAACCTGGCGGGCGCAAGCCTGGAAAATAACGGCCACGGCGCCCTCTCGAGAACCGAAAACGGACAATTCACTAATCGACGTGTCACTGTTGGGGGTTCTGTCCACCCCCGACTGGCTCTGACCCCGGCTTGCATTGGCCCCCGTGTCTCAAAGCTCCAGACGCCCAGGGCCAAGCCCACCTCCGGCCACACCCGTGATGAGCGACGAACGGAGACGGGTCTTACGCGATGGCCTGCTTTTCCAGCACCACTGCTGTAAATGGGACGGGAGAGAGGATGGGGAGGTCCACCTGCTCCTCCTCCTTCTCCTCCTCCTCCTCCTTCTCCTCCTCGTCCTCCTTCTCCTCCTCTTCCCTCCCCTACCTATGGTAATGGTGGTGGAAATCGGCCCATCATTACGCGAGCTGGCACGGCAACCTTACGCCACAGCTTACGAGGGCTGCCAGCGCGGCGCGCTTGACTAGAAACGAGGGCGCTTACGCGCGACCTTACGCGGGCAACTTACGCGCCAATAGTCGTGGAGACGATCCCGTTTTCTTCCGTCGCTCAGATGGGGAAGGCCTGGTATCCAGAGGCAGAGAGAGCGGCGTGGACCTACACTTGCGGAGGCCCGCGCGCACTTCTCGGATATCGGCACTGGACTCCCCTGGCGCGCGGAGCGCACCAGAGGTGGCGCAGGCGGCGCCGTCGGGGGGTCGACCGCCGATCCAGGAGATCCGCGCCGACCGCCGAAAGCTTATGACTGCGCCGCTGTCTCGTCCTCGAGCATTCCCAGTCGCACGGCCCCCCCGCACGGAAAAGCTCGTCGAGCAGCGCGCGGCCGCGCAGCGAGGCGCACAGGTAGACCCCACCCGGTTTCAGCGCCTGGTGTCGTGTTGCCCCCATCGTACTTCAGGACCACATCCCACAAATAATTTCGAGCACCCAGGAGAACATCGAACCAGTGTCGAACGAGCATCGCCTCCCAGGGCCCCACACGTGAAAACCCCTTCAGCTTCGGTACTTTCTTCGTGCTCGAAATTATTTGTGGTGAGCAAGGCTAGGTTGGGACATCATAAGCCTGGTGGCATTCCAGCAGCAGCGCGGCCGCCATGCCCTCGACGCACATCACCGCGTCGAGGGTCCCCTTGTCGACCACGGCGTCGAACGGCCCCCCCTGCGCGGAGGGCACCCCTGCACCGCCACAGCACTCCGCCCGGCCAAGGCCATGCGGGGCCCGGGCGTGGTGCACGCGCCCTCCTGGCGGGAGCCTGGAGGAGGGCCTCTGCTTCACCATGGGGTCCAGGATGGCCCCTGCTGGGCGGAGTGTGTTGGCGGCGCGCAGAGGGTGTAAGAGGAGGGGGGAAGGCTCCTTAGAAGGAGGCTGCTTCTTAGAAGCCGCGGGCCTTACATTTACAGACAAGGCTCGCGCCTTCTAAGAAGCGGGGGTGCTTCGAAGAAGACTTCCCCCCTCCCCATACCCCCCTCTGCGCGCCACCAAGTGTGGGGGAGCAAAGAGATACCCAGACCGCTGATCCCCGGACCTCGCCCAGGGCGCGTGGCGACCATGAAATCGAGGCGAACTTTTTGTTTGAAGGAAAAAGATGAGAGCGGACCGCATGATTCAAGAACCACCGTCGTAACGCGAATGCCCAGATTCGTGTCATCTGGTTCCGTGCAGTGCACGGCGGAGAAAATTAAACGCACCCAACGGAGCAACGCTCAGGCCAACCTGCGATAGGCGAGCCGTCGCGCGCATTGGGTAACAAGATGCAACTAACGGGACAAGAATACGAGGGGGGAGAGGGGGAGAAGCAGGAGGGAGGGAGGGAGGGAGGGAGGGAGGAGAACTGCACAGACGGTGCCAACATCAGGAGCTGGTTTACGCAACAGCTTAGAACTCTCACCCAACAAAATGTGGTTTTATGCCGTGGTGACGAGGGATGGGCAGCTGCATCAATATCGTCTATTCCCCCGAGAGAGTGGCGGCGTACGCAATCCCACCAGCCCTTTGGGCGACAGGTGGTCTAACGAGGGTCTCCTCCCTCTTTCAAAACCCCTCTTCCATTCGGGAGGGGAACCCTACCCCTCCCCTCCCTGAGGTTTTCGGGGAGGGGGTCGCGACGAGATAAAGCGTTTTTTTTTCGGCCCAGGGGATGGCCATTTTTCCAACACCTCGCGAGGATCGTGGCCCCCGAGGGGGGGACGGAGACAAAGCAACCCCATCTTTTGATTGATAGCCTCCAAGATGGCCCCAAGAGGGCCTCCAGGGCTCCCGAGGCCCCAAGAAGACCCAAAGAGCGCCCCAAGAAGCCCCAAGAAGCCTCAAAGAGGCACTCGAGAGACCCCCAAGTGGCCACCGAGCGGCCTCAGAGAACCCAAGATGACCTCCAAGATGGCTCAGATAGCCCAAGCTGGCTCAAGATGGCTCCCAAGATGCTCCAAACGGCCCCAAGACCGCTCCAAGACGGCTCGAGATGGCCCTCGCTGTTTGACTATGCGTGCCTCTTCCTCTCTCCCCCCGTCAGCTCTCATGGCCATCGTTGCTGGATGGGCTGATGGGGAGACTTGTTTGTTCGCGAGCGCAAGCGGAAGAGCCGCGCGCCGTCAGGGGATTGCCGAGTAGCAAAGACCAAAATTACAACGGCCTAAAACGGGACCGACCGCATCAAGAATTGCCCTCTGCCGACGGACCTCCGCCTCCAAGATCTCCCGCATCTCTGGCCCCGAGCAACAGTCCGCGCAGACCCACCGCAGCGAGGGCTCCGCCTCGCGCATGGCCTCCACAACCGCGGGCTCGCAATCCACCGACACGACCTCGCGGAACACGCCGGCCAGCTCCCTCGACAGCGCCGAGCGCCCGCAGCCGACCACCAGCGCGCGGCCCAGCGGCACCTGCAGGAACCCCGGCTCGAAGAAGCAGGCGAGGGCCTCTCGGAGGGCCAGTCGAGACAACGGCAGCTATCATGGCGTGGCTCGTTCTCTCTGGGCCTCTTGGAGGCTTCTCGTCGCCACGGCTGGACCAGCCTCGAAAAGGAGCCAAGGATGGATTCCTGGAGGGGTCCGAGGACCGAGTTGTAAAGACTCTTGGGCGGGGGAGGAGAGCCACGATTGTTCGGGGATCTACTGACCCGGGTCAATGCAAACCCGGGTCGGTCGGGCGTTGCAAGATCCTGCAAAGTCCTCTGATCTTGAAGGATCCTGCGCGCTAGCCCGGGTCATCGCGCCCCTGGTTCTGCAGGATTCTGCAGGGTCTGGCGCTCTGGCTGACCCCCGTTTACATTGGCCCCCGTCTCTTGCAGCTCGAGTTGTCTAGGGCTGGTGGTACTGTGGGGTGACCAAACAGATGGAAGTTGAGGAAAATTAAGGTGACCCCTCATAAAAGTCACCCCCCAATTGACACCCGCCCGAGCCGTTGATTGGGCATCGCTGAATGGGGGGGGCGATAACTGGGAGGGGAAGAGACACCCGCCCGAGCCGTTGACTGGGTGTCGCTGAATGGGGGGGCGAGAACTGAGAGGAGAAGAGATGTGAACTTCTCGGGCCCTAAAGGCCCCCTTCTGGATCCTGAAGGGCCCCTTCAGAGACCAAGGCCCCTTTTCTGCAACACTCGCTGCCCTCCCATTGTTAGCGTCCCCCTAACTAGCGACGCCCCAAGGAAAGGCTCAGGCGGGTGGCAGTAGTCCTCCTCTTTGGACGCCCGAAATGGGTACGTAAAAGATGGGTACAATGCCCAACAACAAATGTTGCCCCAAACCGAGAGCGGCCGCTGTTGGGCAGGCGGCCTTCTGTATCGAAGGGACACAGGCCGCGGCGGCGCGGACAGCGAGTCCTGTTCAAAAGGAACAGGAACTGCTGCTGGGCACGGTGCCCATTCTCTCCGTACCCATTTCGTTCGTGCCAAGCGTCCGGGCCTCGAAACCGGCGATCCACTCGAACTCCCCGAGCGGGGCGCCCATCTCCCGGGGCGCGCCGAGGCCGGCGGGGGGGCAAAAAGCCTGCTCAGGGCCGGACGGCTGCGGACGCCCGGCCGCCTGCCCGCGCTCTCCCAGACACCCCCAAAAGGGCCCACGAAGGACGTGCGCGCCCAGCTATGTACATGAACACGGTCCCTCGATCCGCGAGACTGGCCGCGTTACACGAACATTTGCGCAATGCGTACTCTCGAAACCAGCATGGATTCATGTACGTGTACGTCCTTCTCTCGCTCCTGAACCCCCTCCCCCTGAGCCCCCTGCGAAGACGAAGCCGGGACAAGAGTAAGTCCCGGTGGCGGCCGTCCCATGTCCGGAATGGACCCTCCCCATGTCCCCACATGCACCAGGGTCCTGCTGTGACGGCCGCGCGCGGAGGCTGCACGCGCCCTACAGCCTATACTGGAAGAACTTGGCAGTGATTGCATAGCCCTCTAAACAAGAAACTACTAGCACGCTGCAGAGAATCGGGCGTTGGCGGGACTGGATTTGGTGGACCTGGCTTGGTGATCTGTACCAGGGGACGCCAGTTACGGCAGATGTCTACCGAGGGTGCCGCCTCATCCCACTGCCCGGACATGCCGCCCCCCGACGAAACACCAACTACAGCAAACTTGGCTGAATAACTATGGCGAACCTTGCAGCCGTGCCGGATCGGCTCCCCTTATACCCGGGGTTGGGCGTGGCTTAATGGGGGGGTCACACATGGGGGTCAGAAAAGGTCCCCTTTCGTGCCCCTTTCGGGCCCCTCCGGAGCCCCAGGGGGCTCGTTTAGGCACCGTTTGGGTACCTTTTCGGACCACGCTCGCCCCCCCCCCATTTATGACCCCCCCATTACGCAGCGCCCAACGGGGCCCTGGCGAGTTAGGTCCGGGAGACGTCATGAAGTCTACAGCATCGCCTTCGAGACTCGCTCCCCATCGATGCCAACCTTGCCGGAGGGCCTCCGCGGCTCTCGAACCCCCCCCCGCCCCCGTTCCAACTGGACTCCGGTCGGGCGTGTCCCCGTACGGGGAGACTCTGGACAAACAAAAAAATGGTCGAACAGGACCCCCAAGTAGTCCAAAAATCATCAAAAAGTGGTCCCCGTAATATTCTGGACTATCTTTGCATACTCCTCCTGTAGGGGGACAGGCCCGACTCAAGACTGGACCCCGCGGCCAGTCCTCGATGGAGGCCATCGCCGAGCAGTCGGCCTGGACCACCTTCAGCGGGATCGAGCCGAGCTCCTCGTGGGCCCTGCGCGCCGACTCCGCGCCGCGGCCGCGCGCTGCCCCCATCCTCAGCTCCGCGCTCAGACTGGACAGGACGACGCGGGAGGACACGAGACCCTTCCGAGGGCCACGTCGCCACAGGAATGCAAGAGGCGTGGCTCGCGAGGCACAGGACACGAGGGTACCCTTGCTTGGGCAGGGTCGACGGACTACTCGGGGCCCACTGTGGCATGGGGGAAACGGCTCCTGAGGGCAACTGGTCATGGACCCCGGGGCCTCCCCCACAGGACGAGTGGTTCCTCCTGAGCCGCTTCATGACAGCCCGCGGGCCCGGGGACGGCCCCGGGAGCCCGACAACGGACAACGGACCCGTTCCCCTCAGGACCCGCTTCCCGATGGAGAATCATGCGGGATCTCGGGTTCGGGGTCGGGGCGCGGCGCGAATCTGACTACCTACCAGACCACCCCAACCCAACCCGAAGACCCGAATTTCGGGTTGGGGGGGGTATGGGCTCCATATGTGTTTTTTCGATGTTCCCAGACCCCCCCCCCACTAGAAATCGAGGGTAAATCTGAGCCTTCGGGTTGGGTTGGGGTGGTTTGGTGGGTGGTGAGAATCGGGGTCGCGCGGGGATCGGCGCCGGGATCGCCTCGTGGAGCGGGCTCGGCCCCCGGAGGCCGGAGGCCGGGCCCGCGGGCTGGGCCCTGGGCGCCGGGTCGGAGCCGGAGAGGCGGAGCTCGGGGAGCACGCCAGACCGGCTCCGAGCCGTGAGCCGGTCTGGCGTCCTCCTCCTCCTCCTCGTCTCCCTCCTCCTCCTCCTCCTTTTCCTCCTTTTCCTCCTCCTCCTCCTCCTCCTCCTCCTCCTCCGGACGTTTTTCTGACCCCCAGAGGCCCCCGAGGGCCCCCAGGAGGCCTCGGGGGCACGTGCCAAGGACACCGACGGGGGGTGGGGGGCTGGAAGTTCGGGCCGGGCGAGAGGGGGGGATAGCAAACAGGGGGGGCTTGAGAATTAGCTCCCGTAGCTGATTTTCCCGGCGCCTCCCGGCGCCAGGAGGCGCCCATGTATCGAGGAATGGGCCCGGCGGCGGGGCCGAAACATGCTGCATGCAGCAGATTTCGTAACCCCCCCTTTCCTTATCCCCCCCTTTCGTTCGGCCCGAGAAGTGAGGGGGAGCGTGGGAGGAGGGGTGGGCTGGCTAAGGAGGAGAGACATCGACCTGGAATCGGCGATGCATCGCCGAGGCGGCAGATCGACAACATGCCCCCCCGCTGGCGAGCCCGCGCATTCCTGGGCGCCTGGGGCCATCGGGCCCCGGCCCCCGGTCGGCGCGAGGAGTGGGCGATCTGAGGTCGGTGCGTCCCCCCCCCCCTTTTGGCCCACCCCTCCCGAACGCTGCCCCCGCAGCGGGCGGCGCAGGAGGAGGGCCCGGGCCTGGCGGTGGCGACCTCCAGCATCCACCAGCTCACGTCGGCGACGGGGGCCGGCCGGCGAAGTCGAGCGGCCCCCCGAAGGGGCGGGGAGGAGAGAGGGTCGACAGGCCACCCGTGCCATCCGGATGCACGGTAAGGGTGCCAGGGCCTTGGAAGGCTTGCCAGCGGGAGCGGACAAGGACGGGCCGTGTGGGAAGGATGCAAGCCCAGACATGCGACGTCCTGATTTTTTCAGGACTGCGTCCCTGGAAGTCCCAACCCCTTCCCCGGGGCCGGTTTTTCATCCTGAGTCGTTTTTTGACGGTCCCGAGGCCCGGCGAGGGCCCCCCAAGGCCGACAATGGCCCAAACCAGGCCGTCCTGATTTTTTTACGACGCCATCATGTCTGGGAGGGGCAGCCTTGGAGAGTCGCTCATCCTTACTATGCGGGGTGCCTGCCTTCGCGCACCACGCCCCGCGATGCCCGGCGTGCGGTTCTCTTCGCGCCCTCGCGCCGTCGGCGAGCCCCCTCGGAGAAAGGCAGCCGCTCCGGCCCGGACTGCGAAGCGCGACGTGGGATTTTTTCTCCGCGGCTACACGGCTGACCCTGGGAATGAGGGTCGAGATGTCTAAGCGTTTTAATTATTTCCGTGGCCTCTGGGAACCTCCAGAGAAGGATGGGGGAACGGAGGGAGGAACGGGAGGGATGGAGAGAGGCGGGATCGAGGTTCGGATCGAGGCTTTTGGACCCCCTTCGGTCTCTCTGGGCTTCCTTATGGGTGACCCAAAAGGGGATCCAGCTGCAAGGGGGTGGTGCAATCAATTCGGGGCAATTGTATTGCAAATGTATTGCGCCAGGGAATTGGATTGCATAGTATTGCAACTAATAATGTATTGCACGCGGGAATCCAGCAACACATTTGCGCCCCAGACTGTATTGCACGCCCCAAATGTATTGCAACCCCACAGTATCTATTGAACCAAATCTATTGCACCACCCCCTTGTCGCTGGACCCCCTTTTGGGTCAACAAGATGATTCCTGGGGCGCCCTTGTCGCCACAGCAAACATCCCTTGAGAGGTCCAGGCTTGGACTTTCTAGGGGGAAGAAGGGGGGAGGGACGGAGGGAGGGAGGGGAGAGAGGAGCGAGGAAGGGAGGGCGTAACGGAAGGGGAATGAATGAGAGATGGAGGAACAGCGAATTCGCGGGAAGGAGGTAAGAAGTGCTAAGTTCGACAGTTCTAGAAGCTGCACATGTCGAGGGCGGTCCCTTGCTCGGAACTCGGAGATTGGCAAGCCTTGCATGTTAGGGTCCTCCTCATCCAACTGCCCCTCCCACCTGACCCCCTCCCCAATTCCCTCCTTCCTCCTTCGTCCTCCCACCCCTCGTCATCATCCCTCCCCCCTGGGTCCCACTCCCTTGTGCTGCCCCCAATCCCTCACACTACGGATCCAACTCCTACGACCCGTCTACATCCCCATCCTTCCAACTCCATCCTCCTCCTCCCCGCTACGCCCAACATTATCATCCTCCACACTCCTCCTCCTCCTCCTCCTCCTCCTCCTCCTCCTCCTCCTCCTCCTCATCATCATCATCATCATCATCATCATCATCATCATCATCATCATCATCATCATCATCATCAGCATCATCATCATCATCATCATCATCATCATCATCATCATCATCATCAGCATCATCATTCATCATCATCATCATCATCAATCATCATCATATATCATCATCATCATCATCATCATCATCATCATCATCATCATCATCATCAATCACATCAAAATCATCACTCATCATCATGCATCAGCCTCCTCCGCCTTCCCCTCCCCCTCCTCCTCCTCCGCCTCCACCTCCTCCTCCTCCTCCTCTCTTTCCTCGTCCTCCTCCTCCTCCTCCTCCTCCTCCTCCTCCTCCTCCTCCTCTCCTCCTCCTCCTCCTCCCCCTCACCCTCCTCCTCCTCCTCCTCCTCCTCTTCCTCCTCCTCCTCCCCCTCCTCCTCCCTCTCTCCTCCTCTTCCTCCTCCCCCTCCTCCTCCTCCTCCCCTCCTTCCCCCTCCCTCCCCCCCCCGCCTCCTCCTCCTCCCCTCCTCCTCCTCGTCCCCTCCCCTCCGCCTCCGCCTCCGCCTCCGCCTACGCCTCCGCCTCCGCCTCTCCTCCTCCTCATTATCATCATATCATCATCTTCTCCTCCTCCTCCTCCTCCTCCTCCTCCTCCTCCGCATCCTCCTCCTCCCCTCTCCCCTCCTCCCCCTCCCCTCCCCCTCCCCCTCCCCCTCCTCCTCCTCCTCCTCCTCCACAATCATTCAATATGAATACTACTCTCCCTCTTCCTCTGATGGCGTCCTGGGAGTAGTAGACCCCCCCCGCGTACTGTTTCTTTACACACAGGATTCCCGGGAGTTGGGTTTTCGCCTGCGTTTTTTTCAAACTGCTGCTCTCGCTGAGGCGCCGACCTCATTTCTGCTCCCGAATCGTTCCGGATCGTGCCCCCGCTGCAGCATAGGCCTCATTTTCGGATCGGTGTTTTGCCTCCGTCGTTCAGGATGGCGTTCTCGCCCCAGCGCGGGCCTCTTTCTCGCGCGCCCATCCGCCCGCCACCACCGCGCCGCACCACGCCCCGCCCCGCCGCACGCATACCCACCGCCACTTCCACCCACCAACGCACGCACGCACGCACGCGCACCACCACCGCGCACCGCCACCACCACCGCACTACCCCATCCACCACCAACACGCTACAACGCGTCACACCACATCACACGCGCGCACACACAGACACGTACGCACGCACGCACGCACGCACGCACGCACGCACGCACGCACGCACCCGCACACACACACACACACACACACACACACACACACACACACAC